TTAGCAAGGAAAATGATAAAAATATTCAAAACAAACAACAAACCTTGTGGAGAAATTAGGTTACTGGAGAGAAACGAAGTCTGCTGAGTTAATTGTGCCTGTGGGTGATTCACTGCACCCATGGTCGTTAGCGTTGCTGGGCTGTAGCCGCCAGAAAAGTCCAGCGGGTTACGCCCAATGTTATTGACTGCCGTCGATGACGCCACGGATGGTCCGAGAGCAGCCGCGGCAAACATCGAATCACTAGGCAAAGCGCGTAACATTTCGAGAAGATTGTTGTTTCGCCTAAAACCAAGGATAACATTACAATGAGAACTGAACTACAGCGTGATTTACGGCTCACCCTTCGTGAACGGCTGCTGACTGGGAATTTGCAATTCGCGACAAAACCTCAATGGTATTCGACAAATCAGGTTCACTGATGACGCCAAAGCCGCGCTCTTCAACAAAATAAAGACGAACGAGCTGTTGCGCGAAATGTACCGCTGGATAATTCATGCCACTCTCCATCGATTGGGCGAGTTGTAGATCATAAGTGACCATGTTGACTAGCTGTGACCTTATGAGAATATCAACAGCATCTACGTTGAAACGACAATCACGCCGACACTCCATTAAAACTTTAGTCACTTGTTTTTGCACCCAACTAGAGCCAAAAATCTGTATAAGGCCTTTAATAGCTGCGAGAAAAATGTCCCTCAGACATGTGCTCCATTCGACTTCAGAACGAGGAATATACGATTCTAGTATGATTTCGACCAGCTTTTGGACAAGTCCTTGAGCTGAAACAGTGTCTCGTGGATTCTGCGACGCGATAGCTAGGGCTTCGCGAATATTGATCAACGCTTGGCATCCGGACGTTGGCTGCGCACTCGGAATCGCCAGTTGCAGCCGACTCTCCACCTCGTGTAGCATGTGCTGAAATAATAGTTCAGATTCTTCGATGGGTGGACCACCTGGCCAGGGTCTGGTTTGGAACGGGACGTTAAGATCATCACTGATTGCTTGTTTGAAACCCGGAACGTTTCGGACAAACTCTTCATACACCGACAGTTGACTGGGAGTAATCGAGCCAACGTGCTGCCGGATAAACGGCGGCATGCGTTCTTCTTGAATTTTTAGCATCTGAGTATCATAGTACTGACGATTTTCGGCACGGGCAACGCGACGCATCTCGAATTCGTGAGCCAAACGTTTGTCAATTTCCAACAATGCCTTTTCGGCAGCAGATTTAACTATATAGCACTGCGCCAATTCAATATTGTCCTCTGCAATGATCTGCGATGCCTCTTCCATCATCCTCTGCTGTTCAGTGGTATAACCACGCAGCGCAGAAGCGAATGCCTGCTTCAAGTAGCCTTGAACGTTAAACTGTAACGGATCTCGACAAGTGATCATCGCCATGCCGGCAGTTAAGGAGCGAACCATGTTATGTGCAGCGATTCGCATTTTGTTCTCTTCGGGCTCGAGAGCGAAGTCCTACAGTTGAAACCAATTTAAAATTACGTGTTAATAAAACAAAAAAAGAGGCAGTAAAAAAATATTTTAAGACATGTTTTAACAATATTTATCACAGCGGCGGTCAAAACGTTTAAAATCTTGACGCGCTTCAGAAAATCTATTCCGCCAAACTCTTAAGTAATATACGACTATACCCCTATCGTAAAATAAAGCAACACCATCTCGGTACTTTTCTTGATTGCTGACGCACAATTCTGCATACTTTTACTTGCATGGTCTTACTGCAAAGTTGCTGACCAGAAAGCATTCAAAATCGAACAATTCTACGGCATGCGCGTCGTACGGAGCAGTAACGAAGCGGCATGTCATCGGTCCTACATTTTACCAGTAATTCGCTAGACTCCTAAGTATAACAGTTCTTAACGGCTAATTATATTGAGCAAGCTTAAAAACAGTTAGAACAGCATGGTATGGATCATCCCATGGTTTGTGAAACCTGTAGCTATGTTCGAATATGGAATCTTTCACAGCAGCAACGTAATCTGACCAACTGAACAACTGTCTTTTCGTCAACACAAAGTAAAGCCAATAAAGCAGTTAACAAAGCTATACACATGATCAACGTCGCATTTAAAATGATAAAATCTTATCTTGTTCAAAATAGGACATTAAAAAATGAATAGTATTGGGATGGGGACAGCGTAAGCGGCAAGACAAATCTGTTAACGCTCTCTTCGAATCTGGCCCTGCGCTAAGTAATTCCAGTTAACCGTTTGCCGCCTCCAATCTCGTTCAAATGCAATTTTATTGAAACCACTGTACTAATTAATCGACTATAAATATATACTGAAAATAATTCTTCGCTTCATCTTCATCTTCCATCGCCGCTTCTCCTTTCGGGTCGCGGAGACAGACGCGTCAGACAGTGCTTCC